GTGACTTGCCCAAGGTCACCCAGTGGGTTTCATGGCCAAGCAGGAATTCAGGGTTGTCTTTTGCCTTTCTCAGAGGCTGAGAGACTGTGACTTGCCCAAGGTTATTCGATGGGTTTTCCATGGCCAAGCAGGGATTCGAACCCTGGTCCCCAACACTCAGATGACTACACCACACTGGTTCTTTGTCTCCAAAAGAAGAGGTTAGGTTTCTTTAGCTTCTAATTTAGGGATCATCATCCCTGGGTTGTCTTTTTCTTTACATGTTCTCCCTTGATGCCTTCTTTGCCCCACAAGTGGAAATTCACTCCCTGACTCCTTGCATAATAAAAACCCTGCCTTTGGGTCCTTTGGGTAAGGTTTCAATTGACTTTTTCCCCTTCCCAACTATCTCCCTGCCAGCCAAAAGGCTTCTAGAAAGCTCCAAAGAACCACCAAGCCTTTGTCTCCCTCTTCTTAAAAGGTTATCTCCTGGACCATTTGGATGACAACTCCCATCGTCCCCAACTCTTGGCCGTGCGGGGCTGATGGAAGTTGTCCATCCAAAATATCTGGGAAGGTGCCAGGTTGTGAGGGTCAGCATGGCTTAGTGGTTTGAGTGTTGGACTATTATGACTCTGGGGACCAGGGTTCGATTCTCAGCTCAGCCCTGAAACCCACCTTGGGCAAGTCACACTCTCTCAGCCTCAGGGAAAGGCAATGGCAAACCTCCTCTAAACAAATCTTGCCAAGAAAACCCCGCAATAGGTTTGCTTTCACCATAAAATGGAAACAGCTTGAAAGCATGGAGCAACAACAACAACAACCAGGCAGGATGGAAAACACTGGATTAGTTATGAACAATGGCACCACTGTTCCCCAAATATTTGCCTTTGGGCAGAAAAAGGTTGGGGTATTATGTGCCTGTGTCTCTTTAAAACGCTGAAGAGATGAGGCTTCGTAGGAGGAGAAAGAAGAGGCCCCAGTTTTGAAATTTTACTTTTTTAAAAATTTCTTTAAAGATAACACCTTTGACCAAATTTTCACTTCAACCACACACAACTGTGCAAATGTATATGTAAATACATTTAGGCTGTGTGTATAATATTGTAATTCAAAGGTATAATTTGAATTTTGCTGGTTGTTTTATGTTATCAAATTTGCAGATGACACCAAATTAGGAGGAATAGCTAATACCTCAGAGGACAGGATGGAAATTCAAAATGACGTTAATAGATTAGAAAGCTGGGCCAAAGCTAACAAAATGAATTTCAACACAGAGAAATGTAAAGTACTGCACTTAGGGCAAAAAAAATGAAATTCATAGATATAAGATAAGGGATACCTGGCTTAACATGATTACATGTGAAACGGATCTAGGAGTCCTAGTAGACCACAAGTTGAACATGAGTCAACAGTGTGATGCTGCAACTAAAAAGACAAATGTGATTCTAGGTTTCATCAATAGAAGGATAGTGTCGATCAAGGGAAGGAACAGTGCCACTGTATTCTGCTTTGGACAAGTCTCACCTGGAATAATCCTGTGTCCGGTTCTGGGTACCACAATTCAAAAAGATATTGAGATGCTGGAGCATGTCCAGAGGAGGGCGACTAAAATGGTGAAGGGTCTAGAA